GCCAGCCTATCTAAACATAACGCCAGCCTATGTAAACATAACGCCAGCCTATCTAAACATAACGCCAGCCTATGTAAACATAACGCCAGCCTATATAAACATAACGCCAGCCTATCCAAGGCTAAAACCAGCATATCCAGTGGCAACACCAGCCGATGCAATATCAGCAGCACTGCTGATATTTCTCTCCAGCATGGAGTCAAAGCCAGAAAGGAAAAGTCCATCAGAATCAGAACCACTGAACTATTACTTTATTAATGCCTTGCAGGATGTTTTTTTCTTGCAGTGCAACTGTTTAGAGAAGAGAGAACAATAAGTATGTAATCAATTACAAATAAGATATCAGAATAAAATAAGGGAAAATAGGAAGCTATTATGATGAGGATAAAGTAGAGAGAGCGTGAAGTTAAAGATTAAACTGATAAATTCTGCAGAACAAAAAATTGGGGTTGGATTGAGGCAAATTGTTGAAAATGGGTTCCCTATGTCCTCCAGCAGGTTAAGCCTATAGCAGCAGAACTATAGAGTTTTAAGGCTAATTCTAAGTCTTGAAACTTTGGGTTGGCAGCATTGTCACCTGGTGGCGTTGTTGAGCGCTCTGGAGAACAGGTTGTAACCAGCGGCTGACGGGTTGTGATCCAGAGAGTAGAACCAGGTTGCCGCCTCCTTCAACAGCTCATTTCCTGATGCTCCACCCAGGGACCGGCTCAGAGCCTCGTAGAACGCCGTCTTCCCATCAGCTCGACCCTGCAGAGCCTCAAAGTCCTACAGACAGTCATGTGACTCATGGTTGAGTCATGTGATCATGGCTCAGTCATTTGACCTTGTACATAAATGGGATGTGACCTCTGACCTTTATCCTTCGAGCCCTGCTGATCAGACCATCATGCTCCGATGTTCCCAGCAACAAATCAACTCTGTGGAAGGAGGTGGACTCGGAGACAGAACCCTGGACTGGAGACCAGGACTGGAACGGACCGCTCACCGCCAACAGCTACAACACAACACATACGGGTCAGATATGTAAAAACTGAGCTGCAGAAGTACAGAGTTCTGGACACTGACTTTGGTCTGAGCGGCATTTAGTTTGTGGACAGGAGTCGATCTGAGGCAGGCGACCATTAGACCTTCGTCAATGAGGTCAGAGTTCACGCAACCCAGTTCTCGAGCCAATCCGATCGCCTGCCTTCTGGAGGCGGCAGGAGTTTGGACCAAAGATGGAGAGAAAACGGAACCTCCCTGTGAGAAAAGAGATAGAACAATATTATCATTTGAAGCTGAAGAGCTGATGATTATCAATCATCAATCATCATTAAAACACATCCTGCTGCTTCCAGCTTCTTCTCAGTAAGCATATTATCATCCTGGATGATAATGGAGGAAGCGGAACTCCTGAGGATGAGGGGAAAATTTGATCATCTAACCATCAGGATCATTCGCTGGAACAAAGGAGCAGAGGAAAGAAGATGAAGGCTGCTGATGTCAGCACCGCGACGCTCTGCCCCCACTGTCACACTCCTGTTGTCTCCGCCAACCAGGGAAATGTGGGCATTGACCCAACGAAGTGCCGCCTGCTGGTCCGACAGGCCGTAGTTACCATGGAGATCACCTGCATGACAGAGACGATGAGATCAAGCGTGTGTTCCATGCCGTTGATCTGATTGGATATGAGTCGTACTAACCTGCAGTCAGGAAACCCAGCGCCGCGGTCCGATAGCTGGCTGTAACCACGACGATGTTGCCCAGAGCGGCGAGGGCGGAGCCATCCAGCAGGTTCTGGTTGCTTGGAGGGTTGAAGAAGTAAACAAGAACCGGGACACGTCCCCTCTAAAGGACAAGCAGATAGAAAAGTCCCAGAACTAAATCAAGTCTTCCTGAAGGATTCAGCTCTGTTGATAAATGAGTCGGACGGGGCGTGGTCCTCTGGAACCAACTACCAGTTTTAGTCCGTGAGGCAGAGACCCTGTCTACTTTTAAGGCTAGGCTTAAAACTTTCCTTTTTGATAAAGCTTCTAGTTAGAGTGGCTCAGGTTATCCTGATCTATCTCTATAGTTCTGCTGCTATAGGCTTAGACTGCTGGAGGACATAGGGACCCCTTTTTCATCATTCTGCTTCATTCTATCTCTATTCTCCCACTCTGCAGAATCTGTTAGTTCAATCTCTAACGTTCTGCTCTCTCTGCTTTTTCTCATAGTAGCTTCATCTGGTCTGTTCCTGTTTGGCTGTGACTCCATCCTGGAGAGAAATATCAGCTGTGCTGCTGCCATCAACACCTTTGTTTCTAGATGTTGGAGCTTGGCCTGTTTTCCAGTGTAGTCCTGTTTCTCTGACTGTGACTAACTGGATGTGCTCTCTTCATCCTCTGACATGGGAGCTGGCTCGGAGCTCGTCTGCCTGGCTGTGTGTTTCCTGGACGGGGCCGCCTGTGGAGCTGGTTGACAGTTGCCTTTTGTATCTATGCTTCTTTTTCTATGTCTGCTTCTGTCTCCTTGAACCCCAGTGGGCCTCAGCAGATGGCCGCTCACACTGAGCCTGGTTCTGCTGGAGGTTTCTTCCTGTTCACAGGGAGTTTTTCCTCTCCACTGTCGCTACAAGCATGCTTAGTGTGAGGGATTGCTGAAGAGTCAATGAGTCGATGCAATCAGCTGGTTTTCCTTAGATAGAAAACTTTGAATCAATCTGACTGGATGATCTGGTTGAACTGGAAAATGACCTGAGATGACATGATGGGAATTGGAGCTATAGAAATAGAATGAATAGAACTGAATGGGTCCAACGTGAGACTCCAGGACCTCAAGTTTTTCTATTTCTGTCAGGATCTAAATATTTAGGCTTTTAAGTCATCAAAACCTAAGCTTTCTGCATGTTTCTTTATTGTTGCTGCAAATATAAAAACTGATTGTAGAGATTTTAGTCGGACCAGAGGGACCTTCCGTTCTCACCAGAGCAGCAGGTGTGAAGATGTTCAGGTAGAGGCAATCCTCACTGGAAGCTCTGGACTCGTCATCGCCAGGCTGGATGCAGCTGGCCCTGCAAGAGGAAGCGGACAACAGGTCCATCCATGTTTCTGCAACGAGTCTCCTTAGAACAGATCCTGATGGGCAGCTACCTTGGTTTGGTGGCGTCCCATGTTCCTGTCCAATCAGCTGGTTGCGCCGCCTCAAAGCGAAGTGGTCCTATTGGTGGCCGGGCATACGGGACTCCTAGGAACTGAATCACTTTCCTTATGTCTGAACCAACTGTTGTTTCCATGGTGACGCCCTGCAGCATCCCATGACCGGGAACAAAGATGGATGTAGCCTGTGCTGATCGCTCTGAGGAAACACTGGGGTCAGTGAGAAAGCTGCCACACCCTTTTCTCCACTGTGATTGACTGATGAGCTCACCTGTCATCAGGTAGACCTGAGGGGCGGGCTCTCTGATCACTAATCTGCATGAGGCGGCTGAGCCAGAGGAGCCAGGGGCGGAGCCTAATCCGCAGGTTGTGGTATCGGGGTACAGGATGCAGCGTACAGCGGACTCAGCGTCGCTGATTGACACGGTGACACAAGACTCCGCCTCCTGGCAGGCTGACAGGAAGCAGCAACAAGGTTCTTTAAACTCAACTATGACCTCAGCACCTTAATTACTGATGTTGTCTGTGGTTACCATGGAGACACCAGTTTCTGGTCTTTTCCTGGTCGGTGGCAATGTCACGGCTCACGTGGATGACGTTATAGGTGGAGAGAGACGAATCAACCAGAAGCAAAGAGTCGGAGAGGAGCCGCCAATCATCCATCGAGACTAAAACAGAAAGTTCAGGTGTTACTACTTCCTGGGTCCAACAGAACCCAGCAATGATGGAGAACTTTCCTCCACGCCGGCCCTGATCCAACCCTCCATTCCCTCCATTTTTCCTCCTGTGGTTCTGATGTTCTGGGCAAATTTTAAAATGTTCTTAGGGATTTTTGAAGATCTTTACTTTCACCGCTTTTATCTAAAGAACCTCCACCAGGGGGCGATGTGGTTCTCTGGCATCGATAATGGAGAGAAGAGGGCTGGATGGAAACGTTAGGAAACTTCTGTGAATGTTGCTGCAGAACCAGAACAGACTTTGGGTCTCACCGTTGTTCCTGGGGTTCCTGAGGCTGAACGTGGGGCACAGGTCTGGAGAAGACGTCCACTGATTGACTGAAAAAACAAACGTCACATCATGGCTGTGTTGTTCCTGCTGGTCCTGTAAGAACATGCTTTTATGTGAGGAATGGGTACCTGGTTTCTGGTACCAGCCGAATGGTTCCGGCGTGGTCTCTGCATCGGACTGTGTGCAGTCCTGTATCCTCCAGGTCGTGGTGTCGTTTTCGCTGCAAGTTTGAACTCCCAGACTGATCAGAGGTAGACACACCAGATCTGAAACACACACATCATCATCATCATCATCATCATCATCATGGCAGTGACGATAATCTGGATCCATCAGACTTCCTCTGAAACCAGGAGCTTTTTTCAGGGACTCAGGTTCTGCTTTTATTCTGCTACACATACAGTTTAATTTGCACTTTTCCAAGAAGTTCTGCTCACTTTGGGTTTTATAGAGTTCATGGTTTGGGGTAAATTGATTCTGTTTAGCGTCTCTTTCAATCTAATTCTGAATGATTCTCTCTCCTTCTCAACAGTTTTACTGTTTTGGCTTCATGAAAAGCATCACAGTGACCGAATCTCTGCGAAGCAACACTGGTTCCGCCTTCGGACAATGTCCCCGCGACTCGACCCCGGATAATAACTAATAACTAGGGTCATAAGTTTTTTATAATAAACAAAAAGTCCTATAATGATCCCATCCCCTGACGATTAAAGTTTAAATCATGCAGGACGGTGACATTAACACATTTATGACACTTCGTGGCTCCCGCTGAAATCATTAATCTCTAAAAGGCTCCTATGTCCTTTGTAATTCACTTAGCTCACCACTAGATGGCAGGAGATCTGAGGATCTTTACAATAAAACACTTTTCACATTCAGAAATATAATTTCTGGCTGGTTTCATCACACTAACAGATTTAAAGTTGCTTACTTTTAATCAATCCTTATTTCTACAACTGAGTATTAGGACCAGGTTAGTGGGTCTTTTTTCTATTTTGAGAATAAAGTCATAGAATTACAAGAATAAAGTTACAAAATTACGAGAATAAAGTTTTATTTTATGACAACTCTTCCAAGAAGCCCTTTCTTCCCTAAAATGAGGAATGTGGAGCATCATGTGAAGTTCTACTTTAGCATCGGTTTGACAAATCAGGAAATCTTTTAGCAGCAGCATCAAACTGGGCAGGAGGTCAAAGTGGACTCTGGTTGCTGATTGGTGGAGCTGGTCGGCCGTCATCTGCTGGGCGGAGCTCCAAGCTTTGTTTCTGAAACAGGTTGTGGTATGATGACTTTATTCTTGTTATATTAAAACTTTGTTCTAAAAATAAAAAAAATGTAAACAATCTCTAGCGTGGATCTAATACTCCATCATAAGTTTCAGACTCTGCAGGAGGGGGTTTTTTTTGTGTGTATTTTTTTAGGTTTTTACGGCACTAGACATACGGCAAATATAGTGGCCCTGAAGTGCAAACTGCAACTACAAATCTAAAAGTGCAACTACATTAAGAAAAACACAATTACATTAACCTGTGGGAAACATGAGACATCGCCGATTGGACGACGGCGCCGTTTGACCCTTGAACCGGAAGTTGCGTCGTCTGAACAGTCCAGCGTCTTTTAAGTGTGTCTTCAGTGTACGCAAACTAACTGAAATTTGGTGATTACGTATGTCCTGATTCAAAATATTCCTGGATAACGGCAGCTATGTTTGGGGCGCCGACAATATCCATGTTTTCAAAAGCCGCAGCAGGCAGAAGGACTTCCGGTTCAAGGGTCAAACGGCGCCGTCGTCCAATCAGCGATGTCTCATGTTTCCCACTGGTACCTACCTTTTCCGCTAGGTTAATGTAATTGTGTTTTCCTTAATGTAGTTGCGCTTTACTTTATGTAGTTTTGTTGTTCTTAATGTAGTTGCGCTTTTAGATTTGTAGTTGCAGTTTTGCACTTCAGGGCCATCGTAGGGAAAGGACCACAGGCCGGATACTAACCCGTGTCGGCCATGTTGAGCACTACAGCATCTGTACGGTCTTGCGTGCTAAGCACTGCGCTACCAAAGCAGCCCCAGCAGTTCGGTAAAACTTTTTCCATCAAAGGAAAGAAGGAATGAAGTGCCTCGCATTCCCTTAGCTCCGTCTCCTGAGCGCCACCCAGTGGTGATAGTGAACAAATATAACTTCCCTTTTATGTCATTATCAATGTTTAGACCATAAATTTAGATCAAGTTTAGACCAAATTCTGGGCCTCTATTTGAAAGTGTTGGACTCCAGTCGGGCTAAGTCTAGCTTCCTCTTATAGCTTAGCTTGCTATTTAGCTTAAACAGGCAGATTAGCCTCTGCAGCAACAAGCTAAAATGTCTGAGCCCAGCCGAGTCTGACATTGACAGGTCAGCTCTACATCTGACTTGTTCATGTCCTGATGATGATGACGTCCTTATGGCACATAGCAGTTTTTTACAGAAATATCTGAAGTGTTTAATCTTGTAAACTAAAGTGTGAATCTGGTGTCCATCAGAGTCCGTCCCATCATGTCTCCTACAAACCCAGGTTACCTGAACCAAACAGGGTGGAAACGTTTGGTTCTGGTTCTGCAGTGAAAGGGATTTACCTCCTGATTGGGTCTCACGGACGAACCCAAAACCACGGCAGCAGGGGTCCTGGTCACAGCGGCGCTCACAGTCCATGAACCTGGAGACACAGACCGCTCCATCACTGAACTGATGGACTCAGAGTGAAATTTGGAGATAAATAGAAGCTGAAACTCTGAGAAAAAACATCTATTTGATCTATAATGGCATTTATCTTGACATTCTGTCTCCTTAGCTCAGTGCACCTTTTAAGGTCTTATTCTGTCTTTTTGTCTCTCAGGTTGTGTCTTTGTGTCCAATGGTCTCCCATAGTGACTCCTTGTGTCCTGTACTGTGTCTTTGTGTCCCACTGTGTCTCTTTGTGTCTAATTGTGTCCCATTTTGTCCCTTAGTGTCTAATTATGTCCCCAAGTGTCTTTTGGTGTCTTATTGTTTCGCTTTGTGTCCCTTATTGTAT